AGGAGAATTGATGTTTGGGTATGGAAGGCCTACGATAATGACGCAGCGACCCAGGCGATCGGAAAAGTTGATGCCTTCGCTCATCTTACCCCCGACGACGCTGAGAAGCAGGGCACCTCGAGGTTTGGGTGGCGCTCCCGGTTTTATGTCGGTGTCCTCGCCTAGGATAGCTTGGCTATACGCCTCCAGCACCTCGTCACTCGACCCGCCGCGGGTTTCTTTGAATGCCTGCTTCCTTTCCTGAAGACGCTGCCATATTGACTCGGGCTCCCCAGCAGTCCGGCTATCCCAAATTGCAACGACTTCGTCGAGGTACCCATAGCTGGGGAAGAACACGACAACACCATCAGGCACGACGTTGCACATGTTCAAAATGGCAAGACCAAGCTGGCTGACCATAGCCTTGTCGGCCCTGCGCTGGAAGCTGAACTCGAACGTAGAACTGGTGTCCCGATTTGGACCGGGCCGACTGCCTGCCAGGGTCCAGACACACAGGTTGGATGGAGGAATGACGTGCCCGCAGCTGAGAGTCGTAAGCTTTGAGGCGGAAAGATAGGGAAAGAGGTGGTCCTTGTAGTCGTCGAACGGAGACATGGTGCCGCCGGCGAGGATGACCGCCCTGGCGCTCGTGGCAATGGTCGAGAAAGCGTGTGTTGGGGATAGAAGTAAGTAGGAAAGTTGGATATCTGGCGGATTCGTGGTGAGCTTCTCGTAGAAAATGCGTCCCTCTGAGCTGAGATTTGTGAGGGATATCAGGAATGAGGATAAAATGTGAAGAACAGGCGTCGATGATCTCGGTGGTGCCTTGACGTGGCCTGCGTTGGCGGCTTCCTCTTCGACATGGGCCACATAGCTCTCGATCTTGTAGGCTAGTTTCGACTCTTGGATATATTGAATCAGGCGGAATAGATTGATCTGATCTATTCCCTTGCAGCGGAGGAGGACCTTCGAGTCGACGATTCCCTGGGTACTCTGCATCATGTTAGTCATCACATACATGGGGTCTCAACGTTGCGACATACCTTGAGTTTCGATTGCCCATCCATCCACTCGCTGAGACCCTCGACAACTCTGCCGACTTGCCCGACCATGACTCGGTTCTCTCCCTTCAACTTCTTGCCAAACTTCTTGACGTAGATACCGAGCATCTGTCGTGCCCTCCTTAGTTCGCTTAACTTCACCTCGGATGCATACACGTTGGCTACCGCGTCCATGATATTGTGTGCCTCGTCGACAATAACGACATTACCCTCCAGCTTGATGCCGAGCGCATCTCTCGCGTTCTTCTGTAGTAACAAGGGGTATGGCAGAGTAACAATCTCGGCACCAGCGATCGCCGCGCGTGATGCATAGTACGGACAGATAGACAGCTTCTTTCCTAGATGATATAAGTCTTCAATGTCAGGCAACGTGGCGTGAGCGGTGTCCCTGAACTGATGCGTCTCGGCAATATTCTCTTCCTTCAAGACGTGAGGGCACTTGTCCTTTGACTTTGGCTTCTGGAGTTCCGCACAACGGTCATTGATGGCGGATAAACTGCCGAGGCGCGATACGGAGGGGTTGATGCAGAGTTTCTGGCGTGACGATAGGGGCAAGTGCTTGACTGGCTCGTTGGGAGGTTGGTTGTCTTCACTTTGGCGTTGCACAATCGACTGGGGTACGGAGGATGGAAAGGATGGTCGTCGCAATTCATGGATGAATTGGGTGAGTTGCGAGTGCGTTCTTGACGTGTAGTATATCTGATAGAAAATCATGTTACCAACGTGCCCAGCAACAACAGGGGCTCTGCGCACCTTGACTCCGTCCGCGACCTTGTCCTCCTCTTGCTCGGCCTTGAGACTTCCCAAGCCAAACCTGGACAGGATGTCCTTTGTCTCCTTGCTGAGGCCGCTCATGGCGTCGCCGTCATTGGCTGACCCGGCAGCGTCTGGCTCATCGAGCAACCACTCATCATCCTCCTCACCTTCGAGAGCACGAGGCTTTGATCTCGAGGGGCCATCATCAAAGCGACGTCGCTTGGCACTGCGAGCTTCAATAGCCTTTTCTTTTTGACGAATCTGCTCCAACTTCTTCTCTCGCTCTTCCCAGGTGCGGGCGAGCTCATCTCTTTTCCGGCGCAGCATTTGCTCCACAATCCAGTCAGGCTCATCCTTGAAGTCGTCCATGTTAATTTTGAGCGATGCCTCGTGTTCCTCAACACGTTGATTCCGCAGCCATGTTAATGAAGCGCAAATGAGCGACAGCGATTTGCCCTGAGAAAAGCGTCAGCACTCGCGTGCAAAGAGTTACTTGCTGTTTATGGCTCTTACCGTGCCTGTTGGGCTCTCGAGAATGCCGACCTGGCCATTTCCCTGTTGCAACACGCCATAGGCGGTTTTCATAAAGTCAGTCTGCACATCATAAGGGGTGTAAGGGTGGTTATAGTCAATGCCGTCCGGGACAATCATGTCACCAGGTGCCTTGTCCGCCATGACGAAGTGACATGAGGGATGGGCAAGCAAGAGCCTTGAGTCTTGAAGCTAGCTATTTTGCAATGAAGAAGGAGACGTGTGTAATCAGATGTCAACAAGCATCAGGAGATTGACGTGGGCTCAATAATGTGACAGCTGGATCGTCGACGAATAAATATCCAGTCGAGGGATGCAAGTGATCACGGTTGCCAGGTGCATTGGCCGGCATCAAAAGAAAACAGACCCGTTAAGCTCACCTCGGTGAGGAAGGGAGCATGGACCAGTCGTGTCCGAGGCGAAGGTCAGGAGCTGGGTGAGCGGTGGACCGGGCTGGATGCAGAAAGGTGGGGCCATGGGGAAAACGACAAGGGGAACAGGCGAGAATGCGCTGCTGACATAATACCCTCATTCCTAGTCCAGAGCCAGAGAAACAACCTTAGGGCTGGCTGCCCTCCGCCCCGCCAATTGCCCGAAGCTCAGCCGCCAGCCTGCCACCACCACCATCACAAATTTCCTTCTTGCGAACTTTTTGCGAAAGGAAGTTCCTCAGCGATACTAACCACCGAAGTCGACCACACCCACAGCCGACGCCATGCCTACCCGATTCTCGCGCACCCGCAAGCAGTACGTCTACCAATCCCGCTCCGCTCCGATTCTATAAATCTGGTCTTTATTCCTCGTCGACGGTATCGCGCGCGCAGAGTCGCAGTCGTTTATTTCGATGGCCTGATATGGCCAGCGAACCGTCGTGAGGGATGGGAAGGATGAAAAAGAAGGAACACACATACAATGATGTTTTGGCTTCGTGCCATGCAGGCGCGATGGTTCAGAGGGGGTTTAGCATGTTGAAAACAAGGGCGTCAACATTGCTTCCCCAGCAAAAAGGAGGTCATCATACCTTTTCTAGACTCTTTCCTCGGCGTCGAAACACGCCGAGATGTGAGGAAAGGACTGGCGTGGTACCACCAACTCTGCCATTCTGCGATCCTGGGAGAATTGTCTTCGTTTCCAAATGTACCCGGAAGCTGACTTTCTCTTTTTTTCTCTGTAGCCGCGGACACGTCTCCGCCGGTCACGGACGTGTTGGCAAGCACCGCAAGCACCCCGGTGGTCGTGGTCTGGCCGGTGGTCAGCACCACCACCGCACTAACCTCGACAAGTACCATCCCGGTATGTTCTCTATCTCTCCAATGTCGTTATGAACGCCTTGCTAACTCGCTCTCCCAGGTTACTTCGGTAAGGTTGGTATGCGTTACTTCCACAAGCAGCAAGCGTATGTTTCCCCGCCCTGATTCTTCTACAAGGATTCCACCATCTAATACTGTGCAGCCACTTCTGGAAGCCCGTCATCAACCTGGACAAGCTCTGGACCCTCGTCCCCGCTGAGAAGCGCGAGGAGTACCTCGCCGGCAAGGGTGACAAGGTCCCCGTCATCGACCTCCTCCCCTTCGGCTACTCCAAGGTCCTCGGCAAGGGCCGCCTCCCCGAGGTCCCCATCGTCGTCAAGGCTCGCTGGGTCTCCAAGTTGGCCGAGAAGAAGATCACCGAGGCCGGTGGTGTCGTTGAGCTCGTCGCATAAGTTCAGTCAAGATCAAATCATACCAACTCTTCGACGGATGATGTGCATCACTCTTTGGGGGAAACAAAATGATGACTACATGATGTAGTCACGGGTCATCAAGCGGACGGCGTTCTGCGAATGTGTCATCCACAGCTCAAAAGCTTTGCGGGTACACGGGAAAAGGGCCAAGGAAAACGGTTCTTCATTTTTACATAATGATCCGACCTCCAAGGAGTTTGACGAATAAAAAAACGAAAGGCTCTTCCAGAATCAAAAAGTTCATGGCTTTGATGATATCCAGGGATCTTGTGTTTAGTGGCGTGTCTGGGTTTTCCATAAGGCGGACGGACGGGATACGATTTGAAATGGTATTACTTTTTACGTCTACTCGTCTCGTCCTGTCTTTGTATATTCATAAGTGTTCCCGTCCGTCTGATTCGTGCCTCTCAACATGATGAATGCTTTTCCCAAGCCCTTGTCTCTGAGGTACTCGAGCATTTTACTGTCGTACCCCCAAATCCCAAATGTTCGTCCAGTGTTTGTACATATACATGTCTTGCTCCCTTGGCCATCCGGATTATCCCCTCACTGAACGTGGCCAAGTTTACCCGCCATTGGCATCGAAATCTTTACTTTTTTGGTGTCAAAAACATTATCATTACGCCTCCAGCATATCCATCTCATCGTCATCATGATCCGTCTCCACCGACTGTTTGAGCTTAGGCTCCCGTAAGAACTCGTGCTCCAACGCATCCTTGGCACTGATGCGTCGAGCAGGATCGAGCTCCATGCACCGCTCCAAGAAATCGACGGCCAGCTTCTCGTCGTCTGTCAGGGGAATACCAGGCTGACCGTCCTTACCGCCATCGGTGCGGCACGTGGACCAGAGAATGATCTTTCCCAGCGAGAATCCTGCGTTGCCGACGGTAGGAATGTTGGTCTCGAACATGCAGCCATGTAGAAGTCCGGCCTGCTTCATACGCTTGACACCAAAGATGGTGGCAATCTCAATCATGGCCTCGACATCGTCGGCGCTGTTGAAAAAGGGGAATCGCTTGCTCATGATTGTCAAGAGGATAACACCCGCTGACCAGATGTCGATCTTGGTCGTCTGCTCGGTGCACTTGAAAAGCACCTCGGGGGCACGGAAACCTCTCGTGCCGGCACGATTCGCCCTCCTGGATGGCCGAGTGTCTGTCTTGGGGTAGCCCTGTTGAGGGCCGTTTTGGGATGCCGCGCTGTTGGTGATTCTCTGCTTGCGGACATCTTTGCTCTCATGGCAGAGACAAGGCTTGCTATCGGACCCTTCGCGTTCGGCCAGACCAAAGTCGACCAGCACACCGCGTCGTGACTGAGGGTCGTAGAGGAAATTTGTTGGTTTGATATCGCGGTGGAGGATTTTGTGTTCGTGGACAGCCTTGAGGGCGGTGAACAGACTGCGGAGGTAGATGGCCATGTCCGAGACCTTCATCTGGCGGAAGTAGTCGCGGAAGTCCTCGTGGCGGAAGTAGGGCAGTATAGCAATGACCTGGTCAGTGGACCGGAAGGCTGTGATCAGGGGGCAGACAGCGGCACAGTTCCTCAAGTCGTGGAGGAGCTCGAGCTCGTTGAGGATGCGGTTGGGGCTCGAGGTGACATAGATCTTCTTGATCGCGACATACCGGGCGCGGCGACGTTCGCGTGTTACTGAGGTATTGCTGGCGTTGGGCTTCAGAGGCGGCGATGTCCACTTTGCACCGAGATTGTCCTTCTCTTCAAGATCCCAGCTGTTATCGTAGAATTCGTATTGGAGGTCTTCTGCCTTGTAGACTGTCGAGAAGGTGCCTGCGGAGCGGGGGTGTTAGTGGAAGATAACAGACAGACAGAAAGAGCAATACGAGAGTGACATACCTTCACCAATTCTCTTGATTAGGCGATATCTTTGGGGGAAGCCGGGAAAGGTATCTTGTAAACGGTCCATGTCGCGTTGGACACCCGTGTCGACCACCTCGTCTTCATCTGAGCTCTCGTCGGACGGTTCCTCGACCTCGACCTCTTCCTCCTCGTCCTCGACCTCCTCGGTGTGTTGTTCGGACTCGGCCATCATCTCGGTGTCTTCTGTGCGGGCGTGTGGGGGATCTTGGTGGATTTCAAAGTCGTCGCGGCTGCGTTTGCGCGTGGCTGTGGCAGTGGCCATGGAGTGCTGCTGTGGTCTCGACTCTGCGGTCATGGGGCGGTGGGCCAATCGCACGTCTGCCGGGGCGGTCGAGGTACGTGCCGGGGCATGGAAGGGAGAGGGCGCGCGTGTAGAGTGGTTCAAGACAATGTCTAGGGCTGGAACTGTTGTTGAAGAAGCTTGGTATGGATGTGGGTGATGGGTGTGTGACTGAGTTTGTTGGTGGTGGAGGTGTTGAGAGTTTTGCTGCGGATAACTTTGGTGTTGTTGGTGTTGGTGTTGGTGTTGTGGTTGTGGTTGTGTATGTGATTGCGGTGGTGGTGGTGGAGGGTGGTGCGTCTGACGGCTTTGGTGTTGTGGCGGCGGAGTTGGCGTTGGTGTTGTTGCCCAATCGTGCCGGTGCCAGGCCTGGACGTCGAGGGTCTGGCCAAAGCGAGTCAATTGATCGATGGCATCCAGGTTGGGTTGAGTGAGGCCAGCTGAGGAATCTCGCTGGGTCGTACACTGCGTCATTCGAGGCTGTGGTGGAAGAGAATTGAGAGAATGTTTTGTTGTATTATTCGGTAGAGTTTGGACGATGGTTGTCTTCTTTGCAGTACTCCGGGCAGTACAAACAAATCGCTGAGGTACCTAACGGCAGGTATAGTGAGGTAGAGGTACTTGTGATGGTCTGCAGTCTGCAGCTGCAGCGTACAAGGCAAGGACTGTGATGTACGGTGAGGTGTCTGGGTGTCTTGGGAGGTGACCGAGTAGTATAATTGGACGCTTCTTGTTTGGTTTTTTTTTCGAATTTCTTTTTTTCTTTGCATCTGGCAGCAGGTGAACAGGTGAACAGATGAAGGTGGGAATCTTTTGGGATTTCTTTTGGTCTGGTGCGTCCCATCTGATGCACGTCGGCGGGCTCTTTTTCTCTCTGGGCTCTTTTCGCATTCGTCCCGTCCTTTTGCGGCGTGACCCGGGTGTCTACCACCTAAAAGGTACATCGCGGGTGGTTCTAGGATGAGCCCCGAAAGGCCCCAAACGGCTCCAAATGTGTGCAATGGAGGGGCACAGCGTCGGTGGTCAGTGTGATGGTCCCCTGGAAAAACATGATGCTGACCAATCATCTCGCTTACTCTAACCCCGCACCTCGAAAAAAAAAGTGACTTCCCACCAAGAGGTGGCAGATGGAACTGCCAGACACTGCCGGTCGCGTCGGAGCGTAAAAGAAAACAATAAACAAATTCCCACTTGGTTGCTAGGCGCATTCGTCCCCTCCACCCTTCTATCTGTGCCTAATTAATTATCTCCGTACTTACACACACACAAGCAAGGCCAAAACACATCGTCAACATCACAGGCCGTTTTGCGCTTCCTTCGCCTTCTTTCGCTTCCTCTTTTGGCACTGTACATTACTAACCCACCAGCAACTTGCAACACCAACACCACACAAGGTCACACGAGAACACCACGGCTGGTCACAGACACTGACTGTCCTTGACCCCTCGTCTCGTTCTATTTTATCCTTTTGATTCCCATTTTCCATCTTCTTCCCCTCCTCCCCCGCCTCTTGATCGCGTTCCGTCGCTGGGTGCGCATACCTCGACCAGACCGCAGCCATGGACTCGGTCGCATTCGACATCAACGATGCGCTCAAGCATTACATGAGCGATCCCGCCAGTATTCCCACCCCGGAAGCTGATGGCTCCCTCTTCGACTACGAAAATGACCCCGAAGGCCTCACCGCCGCCGTCATCAACCCGGTGCTCAACCCCATCGTTGATGCCGTCGCCGAGAATCCCGAGGCCATCACCCGCAGTGCCCATCTCGACTCACTGCAGTTCCTCCTAAAGTGCGCACCCGTCTCCCCTCATCCTTCAGATCCCTCTCTTTTGTTGTCCTCCTTTCCGTCGTCGTCGTCGTCGTCTTCTACTTCCAGGTCCCTTACAGAACGCCATTCTGAGCTATTCAACTCTAGGTACACAGCCTTCCTCCCGCCACAGGTTCTTAGCAAGATCTTCGACTTGATCATGTCAGGTTTGGCCGCCGAGGGCGATGCGATAAATCACGATCTCGAGTCTCCCGACGAACAGGAAACACTCGCCCACCACAAGCAGCTTCTCGAAATCTACGGCTTCCTCCTCCAATGGACCATCGCCGCTGTCGAGACAAAGGCCGCCGAAAAGTCATCAACAGCACCAGTCGCAAGGGGTCGCGGCAAGCCAAAGAAGAATGCGCCAAGAGACAAGGACGGCGTATGGGACTCGGCCACCCAACTACAGTCTGCTCTCGACATCATGAGCAAGGTCCTCAAGCTCAAGCTAACCAAGATCTTCCTCACAACCTCCGAAAGGGACACCTTCATCGGCCTGTTGACCCGCCCCGTCTACATGGTCCTCGAGAGCGAGCAGCGCGTCAAGAGCACATCCATCCGCATGCACGCCTTCAAGGTACTCTGCATCGCCGTCAAGCACCACGGCCACGCATACGGTGCGTCATCCCCTGCGGCGCATTCTTGCGCACTCGTGCTAACTCCTAGCAGCGGCCCAGATCTCCATCGTACAGAACCTCACATACTTTGAGCACCTTTCCGAGCCCATGGCCGAGTTCCTTCACATCCTCGCCGAGACCTACGACTATCCCCAGCTTGCCGATGAAATCCTCCGTGAACTCAGTAACAAGGAGTTCAACTCCAACGACACCAAGGGACCCAAGTCCGTCTCGCAGTTCATCGTCAAGCTCTCAGAGCTGGCCCCTAGACTGGTCATCAAGCAAATGACCATGCTCGCAAAACAATTAGACAGCGAAGTAATGCTCTCCCATCGCATGCCAGTAAAGCATTGCTAACGAACTCTACAGTCTTACACGCTGCGCTGCTCTCTCATCGAAGTCTGTGGGAACATGGTTGCCCACCTGGTCAAGCAGGATGAGCGCGGCGAGAACCACAAGTCTCAGCTCAACGCCTTCTTCGACGTCTTGGAAGAGCGCTTCCTCGATATCAACCCCTACTGCAGATGCAGAGCCATCCAAGTCTACGTCAAGCTGTGCGACCTCGAACAAAAGTTCCCCAAACGACGACAACGCGCTGCCGAAATGGCGTGCCGCAGCCTCGAAGACAAGAGCAGTCACGTCAGGAGGAACGCCATTAAGCTTCTGGGTGCTCTTATCAAGACACACCCCTTCACAGTCATGCACGGCGCTCAGCTTTCCCGCAAGGAATGGCAGGCACGTCTTGACAAGGTGGACGAGGAGTTGAATGCGCTCCAGCCGCCCGAAGGCGCACCAGGGCTCGGCGAAGGAGCAGACACCACTGTTGATCAGCAGCTTCTCGACGATGCCACACAGATTGAGCAGTCGCCCCAGAAGCCTGCGCCCATGTCCGACGAGCAAAAGTTCGAGGCGGTCCGCAAGGCCCGCGAGGAGGCCGCCACATCCGAAGCGATCGAGAAGCTGACGCTTACCAAGCGATACTACTCTGAGGCGTTGAAGTTCATCGATGTCCTTCACGAGGCCACTGGCACCGTCTGCCAGTTGTTGGGATCGCGCAACAAGAGCGAGGTCATCGAGGCCATGGACTACTTTGAGGTTGGTGACGCCTACAACATTGAGCAGAACAAGGTCGGTATTCGACGCATGTTGCGTCTCATTTGGACCAAGGGCAACAGTGACGAGGGCAAGGGCGTTCAGAGCCATCTCATCGATGTCTACAAGCGTCTGTTCTTCGAGGCGCCCGACTCCTTCACCTCCAATGATGCAGCCAACTTCATCGCCCGCAACATGATCAGTCTGACGTTTGGTGCTACCCCCGCCGAGTTGACTTCGTTGGAGCAACTCCTGAGTACCATGATGAAGCAGGGCTTAGTTCCCGAAATTGTCATTGCCAAGCTCTGGCAGGTCTACGGCGTGCAAAAGCGCGAGATTTCCAGAACGCAACGCCGCGGTGCTATCATTGTACTTGGTATGCTGGCGACTGCAAACCCTGAGATCGTTGTTGGTGAGATGGAGACTATGCTGCGCACTGGCTTGGGTTCCCATGGTCGCGCTGATCTGCAGCTGGCCAAGTACACTTGCATTGCCCTTCGTCGGATCAACCCTACTGGTCGCCAAGCAAAGGAGTCTACTGTTAAGTTCTCGAGACTGCCAAACGACCATGCTGTCTTGTCCAAGCTAGCTTCCATTACAGAGGTCCCGTCCGAGAGCAAGGAGTGGTACGGTGTCGCTGAGCAGGCCATCAACGCGATTTACGCCATCTCCAAGCACCCTGACACTCTCTGTTCCGACATCATTCGCCACAAGACGAAGCAAGTCTTTGCCGCTCCTCGATCGCGCTCAGCATCGCAAGCAAGCTCCCAGCCTAGCTCAAGACCAGTCTCGCGAGACGAAGCCGACTCCGTTTCTGTTGACGAGGACGGGAACGAGACAATTGTTGCTCCGGCACCGCAGCCAAAGAAGCGGGATGCGGCTGTCGGCCTCTCTCAGCTTCTTTTCATCGTTGGCCATGTTGCCATCAAGCAGATTGTGCACCTTGAGCTCTGCGAGCTCGACTTCAAGCGCCGTAAGCAGGAGCAGGAGAAGGAGAAGACCGCAGACAAGTCCACCGCCCAAGCGGGCAAAAAGGACGAGCCCGATGACCTGGACTTGATTGGTGGCACGACTGAAGACGACTTTACCGAAGCCATGGCACACATTCGTGAGCGTGAGCTTCTGTTTGGCCCCGAGTCTCTGCTAGCACAGTTTGGACCTCTCGTGTCTGAAATCTGCGCCAACAACACCACATATGCCGACAAGGGACTGCAGGCCGCCGCGACTCTCTGTCTCGCTAAGCTCATGTGTGTTAGCTCGGAGTACTGCGAGGCTAATCTCCCCCTTCTCATCACCATCATGGAGCGCTCTGCCGACGCGACAGTTCGTTCCAATGCCGTCATTGCTCTCGGCGACATGGCTGTGTGCTTCAACCACCTCATCGATGAGAACACCGACTTCCTGTACCGTCGTCTTGCGGACAAGGACCAGTCTGTCAAGCGCACATGCTTGATGACGCTCACATTCCTTATTCTGGCCGGTCAAGTCAAGGTTAAGGGTCAGCTGGGCGAGATGGCCAAGTGCCTTGAGGATGAGGACCGTCGCATTGCTGACTTGGCGAGGATGTTCTTCACCGAGCTCAGCACCAAGGACAACGCCGTCTACAACCACTTTGTCGACATGTTCTCCCTGCTGTCTGCCGAGAAGGGCCTGGAGGAGGAGAGTTTCCGGAGAATCATCCGATTCCTCCTGGGCTTCGTCGAGAAGGACAAGCACGCCAAGCAGCTGGCCGAGAAGCTTGCCGCCAGACTTACCCGCTGCGAAACAGAGCGACAATGGAACGATGTTGCCTTTGCTCTTGGATTGTTGCAGCACAAGAACGAGGACATTACCAAGACTGTCTCCGAGGGCTTCAGGGTTGTCCAGCTCCAGGCATAGAGGGGAGTGGCAGAGATGTTACAGGCTGGCCTTGTGGCCGTGTAGTACTAAGGTCATGGGTCGGCGTTGGTGGTTTTGCTGCTTTTGGTCGTTGGTTGGCTGTCTGACTTTGGGTATACCACTGCATGGATGATGAGACTTTACTTAATGATGCTGATGAATCGATTTCTTATCCACTTGAACTATCTATTGACAATGTCCTGATGGAGACTGTTTGTTATGCCGCTTGTTTACGTTTGTGGCGGCGTTCTATGCAAGTGTATATACACGCTTGACTGGCTATTTCAAGCTAGCAATCCTGCGCCCAAAGGTTCTTGCGTAAGGACAAACGCATCCCCTCCATTGACCTCAAATTGAGTCCCATTCTTGACAACTCCATTCACCCGGATAACAGACTTTTCAAGGCTCGTCACCAACGACTCCGGCAGGTAAATCGTTCCCTTGCTCTCAGCAGGAGTCTCAACCTTCATTGTCAACATCCCGCACTCGAACCGCCACTCAACAGCGACGTCTCCAAGTACAGTCGGATACCTTCCCTTGGCCCACTCCAGCCCCAACGTCTGCGGCTCAACTTTCCACTCCACAAACCCAGGCGCAATAGGCTGGATGCCGAGAACGTACCGACTCAGTTCCGCCGTTGGACCTGCAGCCCATCCGTGGCAGAGGGAGGTTGCGACGCCTAGACCGGGGGTGCCGTCTGGGTTCAACGTCTCCCAGAAGCAGCCTGTATAATTCTCGTGTTTGGGATGGGCCAGAGGCGCCCAGAGGGTTTTGAGGAGGGTCGTTGCCGTGGATGCGTCACGGGCGGAGAATGCTGCACGGAGATGGTACGAAGACGCATAAGGGCTGATTTTCTGCGCGAAGCCGGCGGATGAGGTGGAATTTGAGAAGGCTAGAGGGCCGGAAGGGAGGATGAGGTCCCTTGCGAGGGTAGAGAGGATCGAGGCTGTGGTGTTGGGTGAGGGCGATACGCCGGCTAAGATAGCTAGGGCGTTTGCGTCTTGTGCGAAGCCGGTTGTGAAGTTCGAGGAGAGGGTGTAGGCGTTTAGGTCCTGGTTCCAGAGGTTTGTGTTTATTGTGGACCGGAGGATGTCGAGGCGGGTTTGATACACTGTGGTAGTAAGACCTGCGTCGCGGAGGAGGGGGAGGGATTGTTGGAGGGCGTAGGCGTAGACTACGTTGAACTTTGTTACTACTCCGGATTGCGGTGTGTCGTAGTAGTTCCAGTCGCCGCCGAAGGATTCGTCTGCAAGGTTGAAGAGGCCGTTGGGGAGGGTTTGAGAGTTGGCCCAATCGAGCATTTTGGAGACCTTTGGAGCCCACTGCTTTGCGAAGCTAATGTTTCCTCTCATTTCGTAGTTTTGGGCGAGAGCGCTGAGGAAGTTGAAAGAGTAGCCGATGAGTCCTGTGAGGTTTGTATTCAGGGGTTCCATCAAGGGTGCTTGCTGGATCTTGGCGGTGGGGATGAAGAAGCCTGGTGTGGCCTGGTAGGAGCCCAGGAGGTCGAGGGAGCCGTCGATGAAGGATGTGCCAAACGTGCTTGCGAAGGCGGCGCCGAGGGCGACGTCGAGGGCGACGTCGAGGTCGCCTGTGTACGCGATTCTGTCGCGCCGAGAGCCGTCTACGATTCTATCGGCCGAGTTCGCGCCCATCATAAAGTCTGGGAGGAAGGACGGGGACGTCAGGGAGTTGGTGTAGATGGTCTCGCCGGTGGGTGTGCTGGCGGTGAGGTTGCGGAAGTAGGCTGCGTGTCCGAAAGATGCGCCGAACCCGAAGGAGCCGAAGTAGCGGGAGGTTTGGGTTAGGTTGAGGACTGGGAGGGCGTTGAGGGTTACTGTGATGGAGGTCATTGCTACGTTGATGTGAACATCATGCCAGGTTTCGAGGGTGGTGTTGACGGGCAAAAGGGATGTTGCAGGAGGGCGTCGAGACTGGTTGAGCCGGCGTGGGCTGTGATGGTATGGCTGTCCAGGTTGAAAGAGAGGTAGACACAGCTGTTGAGCGTGTCACATAGAACAGAGACGCCGAAACCGCCTTTGACGGGTTTGGCTTGAATATCGAGACGGTAGTTGAGGAGTTGAGCGGCCACGGCACCGGCTAGACCTTGCGGTGCCTGGCTTTCGGCGTAGGCGCCTTCGTCTGAGACTTGTAGAAAGTCGGGGATGGAGTGCTTGGGGATCTCGGTGAGTTGGACTGTTCGCGCGCCAGTGGTCCAGATGCGTGTGAGATCTTCATCGGAGCATTCGAAGGATCCGGGGAGTTGTGTCACGGGTATGGTGGATGTGGTGGGCTTGACGCCGATGTTGCGGAGTTGAAGTGATCCAGCGGATGAGAGGTTAAGCTTTTGGTAGCGAAAGGCGCCTTGAATGAGACGGTTCGTGATGAGTGAGGGGGCGGTGATGTTGTATTGGTTGACTCTGTAGGTGTGCATTGCTGCTGCGAGAGGTAAAGGACCGTCGCTCTGTTCCTCGTTAGTTCTTCTTTCGTTCTTACATTCAGGGGTACTGATGGGATCAAGCTAGTTACCATGTATGAGTCAAGCGCGACTTTGCTTTCTGCAAAGGAAATCTCGAAGCTCGAGGTATCGCCAGAGGCAGAGATGACCTCAAATGTAGGGAAGCCTTCAACATTGTGGCCATAGTCGAGGACCACGATAGAAGCAGTTGTCCCATCGGATGTGAGGGCTGTAGTCTCGTTCGAGCCAAAGACGATGGTTCCATTGGTAGACGAGCTTAAGGTTGACTTCTGAGCAAGATGGGGTCTTTGGGACCCATGTCGACCATTGACTGAGCTCAGTAGGCAGAAAAGAACACCAGCTACTCGGGCTCCTGTATTAGATGATATCAGCATGGCTGTGGCGTCAATAAAAGAAGAAAGAACACTGAAAGTGAGCGACCAAGGTGAGGCAAGCGAATGTGTTTTTGGAATGAGAGACAGATTGAAATGATAGTGATGAATTACCTTATTGTTATATGTACGTCTTCTTCTCCACGACTTTGAATTTTCCCAGTTTTCATGCTGTACTTCTCGCTCCTGGTCCGAGTTTGCGAATGAACCAAGCCGGAGTTGACGATCATGGGTGGATTCACCCGAGAAACGCGAGGGACTCGGACTCGACTCTCGCACACTCACCGAATACGCGGACCGAGGTCAGTGGCTAGAGTGCGAAAGGTACGAGAAGACTGCAGAGCTTTGTGTGGCTCGGTCTTCTTCTTAGTTGACAGAGTATGGAGCCTCAGTACTAGATGCGAAAACACGAATTGTTCGCCAGTGCTCCTTTGTTTAGTACACCTACGCAGGCCAGCCCCTCGTAGCCAAGCCGCCATCACCGGAGGACGAAGACCCCACTGCTCACTTGCTGGACATCATGGTTGAGTTTTGCTCTTTGGACTTTGGGAAAATCTGGCTTCGAATTACCTAAGAATTTCTACGGCTCACAAAAAATGGTTGACGGCTTTTCTTACTTCCATCTTTCTAGCCAGGGCCTCCTCTAGTCCACAGACTTCGCTACTTCGATGACGATCTTTCCGTTCAACTTGTTGGTAGCCATTTACCAGAGTTCGCCTTATTTTTAGTACGGCCCTCAAAGGTCGCCTCCAATAAAAACTTCCAATGAGCTGAGGCATGAGAATGGGAATCTGGCATCATTCGCCGTGTCTTCGCCGTCTCCACCTTGAGATGCCGGAGCGGCTCAGGGACGCGGGTCCACACCGATGGTCTCCAGCCGGCAGTCCTTCGGAGCCGATGGTCATCTTCGGTCCGAGTCCGAATTGCGAGTTCTTATGACAACTTCAATCGCAGACCTTGCAGTGATAGCCGCGTCTCGTTTCGCCGGTTGAGCTATCGGCGACTTTCAAGGCCTCAAATTCCTTCCTCAGTATGCTCTGATTTGTAACGATTCCCGAAAAAGGCTTGTTTCAGCCAACGTCTGCATAAAAGCCCATGATGCTGCTTGTAAAGACGACAGCGAAAGTCATGAGCTCTCTTCTATGCCAAATCTAAGAACCTCCATTTGGTCCCAAAGGAATTCGGGAGATAGCTACACTGCACCATAACATATTTTCTAGAAATTCATGGTTGACTTGCCGTCAAACTGAAACCTGGTACCTCAGCAGCCTGAGCTGCACGTATCCTTTCTATTTGCCGAAGAATATTTTACAGAATTCTTCGCATTGGCAACGTCAGGTTACAATGGTTGTGCAAATCTTGGCGGTCTTTCAATTGGATAGACCTACTCTCTGCCCAACGTGAGGCGATCGCCGTGTGCTCGTCCTTGACAACTGCAAAAATATGTCGATTGCCTCACTTTCACACATGGAATCATACCCTCCAGTCGATTTATCGAGTCCCACTTTTACCTTGAACGAACCCAAAAACTGCACAGATGGGATAGCTTCCAGGTATGGGGAGTGCTGTTGAAGATGAAGAGATGCCTCTCTGCAGGTGGGAAGACTGTCATGGACACGGGACACGACAGCACAAAAGATCATGGAGGAATCGGCCTTTTTATCTTTTCCGCTATAAAGAAAGATTGCTTTATAAAACGCATCCCTAACTACTTGGCTAGCACATCTGCGGTGGCTGAGGTTGTCTGTAAACGGAGGGCACAAATGTGCCCTCAGATACTCACCGCGATCTTGACTCCTCCTTACTATGGATTTACACTCTGCTCTTCGATTGGTCACAGAAAGACGCAGCTGTCTGCTTACAGGTCAGTCTGTCCTTACTGCCCGCATTGTCAACACCTGATACAGGATGTCTTTGCGCTGCCGCGATCTATTAGGCTTGGACTTCACTGCAATCTTAACTCCCCTCGACGGCTACACAAATTACAGCAGAAAATATAGCTTGCTGTGGGCCACGAAAAGGCGCACCTGTCAGCCTGCATGCCACGCCGACACCCTCGACCAATGGCTGCGTTGGGTGCAAGCGGTCTGGATGCAGAATAACGGGCGAAGGTTCACTGCAATTTGAACTCATCTCGAGGGACCAGAGACGAACAACATAACCATCCAATTGTTTCTTTGCGCTCGACCCAGTCTGTCTGTATTTGTGTTAGCATACCAACTCACTTCATACACCCGACGATTGAGCCGTTGACGTGAGCTTCGATCTGCATGTCCACTTGTCGTTTCGTCGTTTCGGTAGAGATGTGCCGATCAACGTAGGGAGTTGTGGAGCCCGATGAGTAGCTCGCGTGATAATTGAACAAGTCGTCTTGATTCCCTCCATCCCGAAAAGTATCATATATACGCGTATCCGGATACGGCCTACATGGAGAAGCGCCGAAGCGCGATTGGGCGTGGAGATGGAACTCATTACTATGCCATTTCAAGGTCGCGTAACATAGGCTCAAAGTCTCACAAGACACTGAGCTTTCAGCCTTCTTCGGGCTCTATGCCGGGTATATGGAGACCCGCTCGGCCCGGTGCGGTGCATTACATGGTCTGGGTGAAGGCCGGGCTTACTTCCCGGCCCAGGATTGTGAGGGAATCAACCTCCAACACTCTCGTCAGCTTGAGAGTTTCAGAGGTAGTGAGCGAATTGGCAGTGTTAATTGAGCAAGTAGGAAGAATTTTGGTGTAGTTATTGTGGTCTAACAGTCATTGACATTTGGGCACGTGGTAAACTGCAATTTCACCTGCCGTGCTGGTCACTATCTCTAGTGGCTAGTACAGCTCAGTCCCAAAGTCAAATGGTACTGGCGACCCTGTCTCGACGGACTTCGGCTAATGAGCAGACCGTGCCTAGTAAACACACGCTGCATACTTTAGTTGCGGCCTCCCGACCACTGCCACACATTTTACGCCGCTGATTGGGAGTGAAAACACTATCTAGGATCGGCTGAGGTGTCGTCAATGAGCGACCAACACTAGGCAAACAACATGTCCTCGCAACTCTCGTTCTCAATATTGATCGTTGGAGCGGGGCCATCCGGAAACACGGCAGCGGCGGCTTTGGCTTCTGACGGGCACCAGGTGACTGTACTCGAACGCGGCTCTCGACTTCAAACACGGGGAGGGAACCTCATCGTACAGCCTTCCGCTGTGAAATGCCTGAATCTAATTGGCATCACAGAATCTCTGGACAAGGTATCTGTGGAAACCGTCAGTGACATCCTATGGAGATATAAGGATGATGAGCCGTTCACAGTTACAGAGGCTATTCCCAGTGGGACGGTCCGGAAGCCTACCGATAGGCCATCACTGCAGCGAATAACCTACGAAGCTGCCATTGCCGCAGGAGCCACACATCTGTTCAACAAGAACGTTGCCAAAATCGTCGAAGAGAAAAGTGGCAAACTTCGCGTGGTAGTGGAGGATGGCAGCGATTACGAGGCTGATTTTGTTGTTGGCGCTGATGGCATCAAGTCACGCATCCGGGAGCTCATGTTTCCCGGACAAAATATGAATGCCGTAATGACAACCGAATGCATATTTCAGACAGAGGTCGATATTACCAGGGTGCAGAACGACCCAGTCGCCGCTCCGCTTGGCGTTTGCTCGCACCATCTCATGTTTGGTCCCGGACTTTACTGCGTCGGGCGGCCGACTGCTCATGGTACCGTTCGCATCCTTCTATGCAGTCTACATTATGGGCTTCCATCCGCTGATGCGGATTTGGGTGGGACTTGGAATTCGGATGGCAACCCTGAAGAGATCCGCGAAATGTTCAAAGGGTTCGGTGCGCCGCTGCGTGCCTACATCGAATGTGTGATTCGTGGGGGGTATCCCATTGACAAATGGCACATTGCCACAGCACCAAAGATGGAAACCTGGATAGGATTTGGCGGACGGTGTATTCTTCTAGGGGATGCTGCGCATGCCATGTTGCCGCATACTGCCCAAGGGGTGAGCCAAGGCATCGAGGACGGCTTGGCTCTCAGAACAGCCCTTCGCTGGTGTGCCAGTCGAGACAAGCTGGCTGCTACTTTGAAGAAATGGGAGGCTCTTAGAAAGCCACGCGCTGAAAAGATGTTTGATGTCGGCTATGAGAACATTGTCTTGTTCACCCTTCCTGATGGGCCAGAGCAAGAAGCTAGGGATCAGAGACTCTTAGCTACGGGTTTCACTGGCCACCCAACGGACTGGGATAGCGTTAAGATGGATGCGAATGCTCCAACTAGGACGCCAGAGTTCACAAAGTGGGCCATGTTCTACGACGTAGTTGAAGAGGTAAGTGGCAGTCTTACATCTTTCATGTCCGGACGTTGAGAGAATCATATTGACACGAAGTATTGGCTAGACCAACAAACTATTTGCCATGGACCGTAGCTCCTGAAAGGGGGTATATACAGCAAGATAGAGGACGGATGGAAGTATCAATTCTTTTTAACCGTGCTGAAGGCGCCAGAGACGAGGAAACGCAGTTCTTTAGACGCCAAGCAATGCGACGATTCAACCCCTAAATGAGCATTTAGCTGGTATGCTTGTGTACAAGTGGCAATAGATCACCATGAGGCCCGCTTTGCTTGCATTGTGCCGCCCGCTTGTCCTCGGTCACAGTTGAGCCAGACCTAAGACCCGATAGAGGGTTATTGAGTGGCCGTTGCCTTGACGTGACTATCTATCTTGATCAAGAACCTCGCCTCCTTCACCATTATAACCCAGAATGAGCTCAACTGCCTTCGCGGAGTTCAATTTAAATCAAGAAATTCTTCTGATGGTTTTCCTAAATATCGCAGCTGGAGAAGGCTGGATTCAGAGATAAGAAGTGGCCTCAGCTAGGAGCGACAGCGATAGATTCTGCTTGTCACTTCTTCAACGATCTTTGCGATCACCCAAACAACTATAGTCTGGTTTCCCATAATTGTTCCTATACTCTGTGACACTACCATCTCTAGCTGTATTCATTGTCTTCAATCTCTGAGTTGTGGTGTTTACCTGCGATCGGACCCATCGCCTGCTGCTATAGCCTTGCAATCGTGGGACAAGTTTAGGTCCTGATTACCTAGCTTGTAAAGGGCCCTTTGCATTCTCTTTGCTGGCATCAACTCGCTGACGTTGTTGAACCATAAGTGCTCTAAAACAGCCATCTTGTAATGTATACTTGGATGGTCTCCGATTGTACTGTGTCCAGTCGTCTGGACACCAAAAGGTTCGCCTCATTTTGTCAACTCGCCTCATCTCTGCACTGCAATCTTAACCCCCCCCCCCCCCCGAGCGCTCGAGGTTCAACGAGACGTGTGGCTAAATCAAAGCAGCAGTACTCGCAGCGCCGCAGCCAGACCAGCGATTACTCTCTACATTGCAATCTTAGCTACCCCCGTCGGTTCTAAGTACAGCAAGAAAGAAAGGATAGGTAACCTGCCCTGGGCCATGTTTTTACACTTCGTCTCTTGCCAAGAGCCACAAAGAGGCGCAGTAAGCCAGGATAGCATCAGAGGCCTTTAATGACGCAGATGGTTCACTGCAATTTTAACTCATCTCAAGGGATCAGAGGTAGACTCATAACCTTCAAGTAAGGCTCCTCCAAGAACCCCGATTCCCTCTGCAACTTTCGAGAGGCATACTGCACACAGAAAGGCATGACCCCAAGGCAGTAATGTCGTTCTTCTGCCTCACCAGGGGCATACCGACCAGATACCATGAGGCAGTCTGAAAGTCGACATAAGGACCAGCATGATTGAACAAGTCGTCTTGATTCTCTCCATCCCGAAAAGTATCATATACACATGCCAGCGTTCTGCCAGCTTCTTTTGCCCCAACCCATCTTTCTCTCCAACATCTCCCCTCCGAAGCCTGCTCTCTTCCACCAGGTACAGATAAGAAAAATCTAGTTCTTGCTCTGCGGCGCAAGAGCAAAGGTGGGACGAACGAATCTGTGTCATCAATTAGCCATCTTCATCCAAATCCCCATAGACTCCCTTCTCCACCGGACAATAGTCGGCCAGAGGGAAGTGCTGTATCAACATACCTCTCGTTGTGGTAGACCTTGGTGTTCTCGCCCAACAGCTCCTTCTCTCTCGCCTGATCGGCGTACCACCTACGAACCTGGTCGCGGTCCTCCTCGGCCTGGAGGAGGGGGATGAGGTGAATACGCGCCCACATCTTCTCTCTCGCCAGCTCGCTGTGTCTTGTCAGCATTGTGCTCCTCGAGACTGTGTGTCCCGTCTAATTGCTCTATTCCTCCCTCGGTATATGTTCGTCATTGCGTGCTTCCTGTTGTCGATGTACCTCACTGCCCCTCGTTGAGCAGTACGGCATCTTGTCAACCAGACCGTCCGCAAGCCCGTACATTACTCGGATGGGAGGAATATCGAAATCGTCGTGTCGGGAGTAAAATGATCGCAACGTACTTGGCTTCCCGGATACCCTTGGTCAATTGATACCATCCGTATCCCATCACCAGTCCCATACCGATCAGCATTGTGCCGGGGCGGAATCCACGGGCGGGCAAGTTGCGCTGTTTCCAATAATCAGCATGGTTCCTCCAGAAATCTGTGGCTCCTCGCCGTCCCCATATCCGTGGTCCCGAGTCCAAGTGTCCCTTGCCTAGCAACCTCTCATCGTCCCAGTTCGGTATCCTCGGTCAAAGTGTCACTTCAACAGTCGATGGCGCCTAACTTTCCCGTACCCCAAATGCCTTCTTGCCATATTGCTGCTCCCATAGCTAACCCGCTCGACCCGGTCGTCCCTTCATAAGTCCTCCTCTTGCGACTCCCTCACACTCCATGCTCTCCCCAGTCCCTCCACCACGCCAGAATCACTCACCTTGTACTGCACAGCCTGGTAACCCCCCACGGGCGGCATATCCTGAGGCATCCTGTCTCAATCGTTTCCTACCGACCCAACGCGGTCGGCTGCGCTCGTCTAGAGGGTATGTATAAAGTGTCGTCGAGTGACTTTCGTCGGTCAGTTGCTCCTTGGGTCGGCGGAGTCAATTGAGTGCGTATCGAACAAACAATTGTTCCGTTCGAGAGAGTGGAAGGGGGGTATCGACGTCGATTCGACGGGGGTGTGTGGGTTGCGATGCGATATGGTGGTCGTCGAGCTCGAGATTCGGGGACAAGCTTTGGCCTAGGGTGCCTGAGGTGATTGTTTTCGGGTCGATGGTGATTCGCTCAATTGGCCGATGGCTTATGTAAGACATACTGTGGATCCATCTTTTCCACCCTCACCGAGGCGTGCCCCCCTTGGGTCTCGGTGAGCAATTGGACACGATTGAGAGGTACCTATACATGTGTACAATGTCACTTAAGTTTGAACAGAGATCGACTACTCGAGTTGATTCATATAGGTCATAAATCTCAAGTGGCTAGATATGCACCGACCCAACACCAGATCGTCTATTCACCACCCTCAACAAGCAGTACTGCACTTTGAATCCTACAAATATTTGCACATCTCAACTCCATGCCATGCTTCGCCAACGGAAAGGCTGGGGTATAAACCGAATAAACCATAGCCAACCAACTTTTTCTTCCTCACTTTCGTGGCCTTTCCTTCCTTAGCTTATCTTTATATGCATCATGCCTCTCGTTGACCGGTGGTAAGGATCACTAGTCCTCTCCGGCGGCAGCGAGCTCAGCCTCAAGGTCTGCCTCGAGATCGTCCTCGTCGAAGTCGTCAAGTCCGTTCGCAGCAACGTTGTCCGGTATGAGCGCGACGTCCTCCTCGTCGCCAGTAACTTGAGGAGTGGGCAGGCTGCTCGACTCGTTGTTGTCCTCGACATTGGGAGTCCGTACTGAGCTCAACTTGGAAGCACCACGGCTCTTGGCAATGCGTTGCTTCTTGGACAGCGCACTACCGCCTTCATCGGAAGCCGTGTCATCTTCCATGGCTTTCCTCTTGGTACCGCCAGTGACCGCATTTGAAGACTCTTGGGATGAGGGCAGGTCTTCGCCAGCATCGGTATCGCCACTACGGCTTTCCGTATCGGCATCTGAGCTGTCGTCGTCGCTCCCGAGGAACTCCTTCATCTCGTCATCGACGCCTTCCCAGTCAAACGACTTTAGGCCGTCTATCGGGCTGACTTGACCGTCCTCAAACTCGAGCATCATATTCTCTTCATCGCCGTCCTGGTCGCCTTCATCTTCGTCCGAGGCATCGTCGTCTTCCTCGAGTACGCGTTGCTCGCCCGTTTCGTCAATAATTGTCAAATGCGGCCGTGAGTCGTCACCATCGGCGTCAGAAATCGTCTCCGCGTCTGTTGACTCGGACATCGCTGGCTGGCGGCGGTCTGCTGGGTGGACCTCGACCAGGTAAGGCGCTTCGTCGACGCGCTGCCATTGACTGAGGCAATCAGACAGCCAGTTTTGGCTGACAATCTTGATACTCGGCATCTTGGCTGCCTGTCTGACCTTCTGCGTCCGCGGGCGAGACGTAGAAATAACGAGATGGGTGACCTGCTTGGATACCCTAGTCGAGATCTGGGCGCCAAAGCTCATGGCTTGGATGCCGATCTCGGACTGTAAGACGTCGACGCCCAGTGGTACAAGACCAGACAGGACAATCGTAGTGCCTTCGAGGGTCGCGGCCTTCATCGTATCGAGGACTTCGCCAACGTCTGGCACAGCGTCAAGGTCGATACCGTCGTCGCCCGTCTTCTTACGCGGGGCAGACTGAGCAGGTGCGGCAGCGCGCTTTTCGTCGTATTCGGTGTAGAATTTGTGGTGTAATTGGGCAAGGTGTTGCTGTAGGTAATGTAGCTCAGCATCGTCGTCGCGGAGAACTTGCGACCGATGCTGTACTGTCATGATATGTGCTCCGTTCTCGGTTTCCTGTGTTGCCTTTTCGTTTTGTTCGTCTTCTTTGTCAAGCGCCTCTTGCATGTGGAGCAGCGGCCGTTCCTTGATTTGCTGTTCCAACAGTCTTTCTTGCTCTCCGCTTTGTGCTTCCTGCAGGACCTTGTCGTCGCCGCTGCTCATCTTTACCAGCTCGTCAATGGCAGACACCTTGCCATTTGGTTGGTCGGCTGTTGATGCCTCGCTCGTCTGTGCTGCGGTTGTTGCGGCGACTGGTGTTGGCTTCGCTTCGGGTTCGGGCGGCGCGGGCAGGATGTCCTGTCTCTTGGGGAGGAAACTCGAGTTGATATCACCAATGCCCTTGAAGAAATCATACGGCACAACCTTGATCAGGTTGGGGCGATTGCTCGGCCACACGTCTGCTCTGTCGTCGATAATGACCACCATATTTGTGTTCACCGGGAATAACCGCTGCAGACTCTTGGAAATCATGCTTCCGTTCTCGTCACGGCTGATGACGCGGTTGCCGAAGAGCTTCTGCTGGGGGTCGACGATTTTGGCAATATTGAGGGCGTATGCGCGTGTTCCCATTGTGTAGACGTGGAGCTCGTAAAGCTCGGCAACCTTCTCGAGGAACTCGGCGAGACCGGGTCGCATCTTGATGTAGTACCAGCAGCCGGATGTGACCATGCCCCGTGGACCTTCATCGTTGAGCTGGAACTTCTTGACGTCCTTGACGGCATTGTAGTTGGGATTTGACGGGTCCTCCATCCATTCGCCAACGGTGGGCTCGATACAGGCGTGAATGATGGTCTGGTCGAGATCGACAACGAGACTAAGCTTCCGTTGTCGTAGCAGACGCTTCTGGGTGTCGGACTCGGCACGCGCAGCCAGGTCGCCGCTGACCATGAGGCCGGTCTGGTCGTGTGTCATGTTGATCGTGGCGCGCTGGGTATCGCGTTCGGCGGTGGCCCAGTTCACCTCGGTCATATCCTTTCCGCAGATGGCGCACAAGCCTTGGAACTGGATCTCGTGGGAGCAGGCCTCCTCGACCATCATACACGGGGCGTCGCGGGTGAATGTCATGCCTTCCTTGAGACGCCATTCTTTGAGTGTGCCTTCGGCCGGACTATCCCAGCCGACGACTGTGGTTTCCTCCTCTTGCCAGGTGTTGCCAGCGATGGGGTCGCCGACCTCGCGCATCCATTTGAAGGAGTACTCGAGCACGCTCTCCTGTTTTTGGACGGCGTCGCCGGGGCGCTTGAGGAGTTTTGTAATGGTAATCGGGTAGCGCAGTCTCGCGCCGAGTGAAAGTAGCTTGCCCATGATGACGGCAGGCTACTGGGAGGGTTTGGTCTAAAAGTCTGTCGCGGTGGGAAAGAGCCAAGGTTAGCAACGTGAGCTTTGTTGAAACACGCGCGTGCGCGCAAGTGGATGAAGAACTGGAAGATGCAGCAAGCAAGGGTTGTTCGAAAGTGGACGCGACACGAGGCGCGGTAGGCGGCAGCGAAGAGAACCTTCAATGACGTCTCGAAAATGGAGGGAGGAGGTGCGACGAACCTAATGAGACTCCCCCAGTAACAATCGGAGAAGGTGCCGGTGTAGTGGCCAATCCCATTGCCCCGAAGCTGATGAGGGGAGTTTTTGACGAATACGCAACAGATGGGGAAGCTCTGGAGCGTTGCGCCGGGATGAAATGGACGGATAGGTGTGAGATGGGTGAGTAGCTCAGGTATGCAGAGTCGTCGTCGTCGTATTAGTTGGTGGTGGTTGATGGTGCAGGATGGCAAGAGAGGGAAGAAACGCGTGGGACGTCCGTATTCTTCTTAGCCTTGGGTCTTGACTGCCTTTGCCTTAGTCGAGTTATTCCTCGGGTTGTAGGCGCAATTGAGTTTTTGATGACGTGATGCAATTGGACGGAATGCTGGATCTTGTCGCGCGAGATGTCTGTTTGTTTGACGCGTGTGATCCGTAATGTGTGGTGGGATGAAGTCGGAGCTGGTTTCGATGCGAGTCGCAATGGGATATCGAGCTGTGGTGCTGCTGCTGATGCTCCTACTCGCTTGGGGTTCGGCGGGTGTGGAGGTTTTGGAGCTTGGGGATTTCGAGTGGAGGTGGGTAGGTCTGGACCGAACCGTGACGTACACCGCAAGCAGGGCGAGGTGAAGGCAAGGTGAGGCGCGGTAAAGGAGAGCCAACGGGGAAAGCCCAGGTGAGCCGCGAGACGGGGTGGGGTCGGCTGTCGGGGAGCACTGACCACTTGGGTAGCTGGAATGGGGCCGGTCGGTCGGCCTATCGCAGGAATGATTTTCCGTAAGTAGCTTTTTGGCGGCGGGGAGGTCCCGTTGAGTGGGGCTGAGTTTACCGAGGACTGGCAGCGGAAACACTGAACGGTTTGTATTGGTGTGTGTGTACCTGTTCTGGCGGGATCAAGTACTTCGGGGTCTTCGGCAGTCCGTTGCTTTGCCAAGGCTTCGAGTGTTTGGTGATGGAACGTTGAGGTACAGCAGCTGCAAGCTGATCTGACTTTTACAGCTGTGATGTTGATGATATCGTTGTCGAGTATGCGTACAGGTGATTTATGCACTCTTGTTTGTAGCACCTTGCTTGTTGTCAGGTATCTGACAGACTGGCAGAGCTGTGGTGTGATGTGATGGGGTCTTGGATGATACGATGCTGAGATGGAAGAAAAGGTACAAGGCCTGAGCTGTCGAGGTACAAGGTAAAAGCTGGTAGCGTCACTGCTGGTCGCTGGCAGAAGGGGGAAAAGGCAGCCTTTTTGGTGTCCGTCCACCACTATCAGCCGAGCCACCCCCTTCTGAAAGAGTGGGATGCGATGGCCTATTTGTACCTGCTGTAGCACCCCAGCCTGCTTCTTCGTGATGCAGCGATGCTCCTCCTCCTCTGCCCGCTCATGGCGCCAGCCGGCTTCAACTGGTGGCCGCCTGGTGACCCCTGCATGAGAGCTTCACGAATCACCCCCTTGTTCATTCTCCAACTCGTCCCTCACTCACCCTCACCCTCACCCTCACCTCACTCCCCTCTCACTCACAGTATGTCAGTCTGTCTCCTGTGCCTCACCCTGTGCAGTGCCAGTGCATGTGGCCTCTCTCTTATCCCAGCTGTGAGCACCCAGATCCATCATCCCACCTCTGCCAGCCAGTCACACCTTTCTGCTCTCTTCATTGGGTTACAACAGGGAGCCTCTTCAAACAGACACAACCAACAAGGAGTCACGTGAATAAGGAGCAAGAACGCTCCAATAAGTGAACCCGATGAGAAGAGTGTCACAAAGCCTCAGTACATCCACCATTCCCAAAGACTTTCAACATTACCTCAGCTATGCCCACTCTCTGTCACGCGCCTGGGAATAAGCTCCACTGAGTAAGGTGCCTTAAGGTATGGAGTAGAGCTACCTGGGAGGCAAAATGCAGTGGTCAGCAAACACCAGTGACGGGACCACCTGCATCAGTGACTCCCTCTCCAAAGTGGCGTGAACTCGGCACCTCACATGAGCAACAGCAATGCAGCGGCAGCCTCCCACCACCTAACCTCAACCTGCCTACCTCCCATTCTAGATCTATTTTGTCTCCTGATTCTATTCTGGCTTGTCAACAAACCCCTCCCATCCGGCCCTATCCAGCAGCTGCTTTCAGCTCCCTCATTCTCTGCCGGCATTGCCTTGATGCTGCCACCCTTCTCTACCTACATAAGGTAACTTATGGGGAGATGCGCCAATAGCGTGATGATCCATGTAAATCGCAATGCAGGTCAATTAAGGTAGAGCGGAGAGAGCTTTCCCCCAGACTTTACCAGCTCTCTATACCATTGTGCATGACACCTCTTCCTGAGAGCATCGAATAGGACTGAATACACCAAAGCCATTGAGAGTCTACTTGTACGCTTCTGTTAGATCTGCAGCAAACATTGCTCTTGTTCGTCTGTAATGCCAGACAAGGCTACTTCATTACCGAGAAAGGTCATAATCGAGTATTAATGTACTCTCTATCCATGAATATGGGTGCCGCATTGTCCCGTATCCCCAGTGCCGTTCTGATCACGCCACAACCCCGTAAACCAGTCAGTCAGTCGTTCAGTTTCCCCCATCTCCCACCCCAGACTCTGAACCAGGAAAATAGAATATCTTCCCCACAATCCTCTAGCAAAGTCCGTGAAACGCCGCGCCAGCCAATGTTCATTCATTTCGATCAGGTAACATCCCAGAATCGCCGACGCATTCCCATTCCGATACCATTCCATCCACCTCAGATGTCGGCCCCAGGGTCAAGTCGCGTAGGATGCTGTCCCCTAGCGCCTCGTTGAGCAACTCCTGGTTGACCCCCTAGGCCACTGGTTGCTGTGAGGGCGAGGGTGAGACACGCATCACTCTGTTTCCCAGAGGCTTGTCCCCCGGAAGCCCGGGTAGTGTCCCCATTTCGGACAGCTTCTTGGTCGTCATGTCCGGGTCGGGCTCGTCGTTTCCTATAAACGTCCAGCTCTCCTCGGCCTCTTCGTCTTCGTCTTCTTCGGCATGCGCGTGCTTGCCTGCCTTTCTCTTGATCAAGCTCGTCGCGTACTCCATATCGCGGTACAGGCACTGAATCGCGTTTTCCACGCCACGTTCCTATTTATGTATGTTAGTTGACCACAGAGTCTCACAAAACGATCAGAAATGGAACTTACACTGCGAATCTGCTCTCCCAGCACGCGAGCCTTGACAATCATACGGTCGTTATGCGTAGCTTCCCAAAGCGCACGGGCGAAAGAGACTGCGCCCCATTTCTTCAGGCAGATACCGACGCCAATATCCTCGACTCTGCCACCAAAGAAGAATTGGTCGCCAAAGAAGGGTCGGATGATGGTCGGGATACCAGCCCTCAAGCTGGCACCCGTCGTGCCGGATCCACCATGGTGGGCGGCTGCGTCAATTTGTGAAAACAGCCAGTCGTGAGGCGCACTCTTGATGACGAAAATCTCGGGCGGGATAATGGGCTCGTCCTTTGCGCTGTCCGCCTCGCCCTGCTTGGCCACACGATCCGACCAGCCCTTGGACAATATGCAGCGAACATCGGCCTTTTGAACGGCGTCAATGACCTCTTGGGTCATCTTGGCCGTATCGTTCACAATAATAGATCCGAAGCCGACATACACGAGCTTCTTCTCGTCCGCTCTCGCCTTGGCAATGAAGTCGACAAGTTCTTGCGGCGGCTTGAAATCCGTACCCTCCTCCAAGAACCAGTAGCCGGTGACGCGAATCCAGTCCGAAAAGTCGAGAGGCGGCGCGACGACATACTCGGAAAAGTTGTAGAGGAAAGGAACCTTGTTGGGCTGCATCTTCTCGAGGCTGGTGTTGGGCAACTTGAGTGTGTTGTTGCGCCAGCGGTTGACCTGATGAGCAGTCGCCTTCCAGAAAATGTTGTCAAACATGACGTACGTCATGTAATTGTACGCACCACCCATCTTGTATTCAGGCATAACAAACGCATGAGGGTAGGCTCTGGTCCGGGTCCACGGCATGGTGAAGGCTCTGAAGTAGGGAATCGAGAGCTTCTCTGCAATATGAATGCCCGCCATGGCACTGGGACTCTCAATAAGGAGATCAGAGCCCTGGCAAGCCTCCCATGCCGAAACCAGCAACTCATCCAGCCAACCGCGGAACATGGAGTTGGCCTCGCGCAGGAAAGCCCACGTGAATGTGCCGTTCTCGATGCAGAGTCTCATGAGCTCACCAGGATCACCGTCGACCTTTGCGAATTCGATACCGTGTCCCTCGATCCAGTCCTTGAACTCGGCGTGAGTAGCGATCCGAGGCTTGTGGCCTTCTGCAATCAAGCCCTTACACAGCGCAATGTACGGCTGAACGTCACCTCTGGAGCCGATCGTCAAGCAAGTGATCTTCATCGAGTGGGGAGGCTTGAAGTTGAGAAATGAGGCTTTCGGGTCGTCGAACAATATCGTCGGAGCATCGCTTACGCCTGAGCCTTCCTTTGGCAGGCGGAGTTCGTGGTCGTGGAATTCCTCAACTTGGCGAGCCTCCTTCAACGCGTCACGCTCGGCCATGGCGTTCTCCTCCTCTTCCTTCTCGTCCAAATCCAGGTCTCCCGACTCCTTGAGGTAGCGTGTTGTCTCCAGGCTTTGCAGCAAAGTAACAGCGCAGTCGTCTCTGAGTTCGGCCTGGCCAAACTCGAAAAAGACCTCCTCGTGTCCGCGAATGACAACCACCAAGCCGGAGTAGCCGAACCGGAAACCCTTCTCCTTGTCCACGTTTTCAATATCCTTCAAGGGCAGAATGAGCTTGGTTCTCGTTCCAGGCAACAAGCTGCGGAAGCAGAAGGACTTGTCGCTGATGTAGATCTTGCCGTACAATGGCAAGACACGCAAGATGTAGCCGAAGTAGGTCGCTTGAAGCTTCTCCGTCTCGGGTAGCGCGAAATGTGCGCGGAATCGATCCATGGAAGTCTGGATCTTGCCCTCTGCATCCTCGTATAAATCTTCATCGTCCGTTTTAATTTCGGGCGGAGCATCGTAGTGCTTTCGGCCGCCTCGCCACATGCCAGACACCTTTTCAACATATCCCATTGACTCCGTTGCCAGCATTGAGCCCAACTTACCACTAGTGCTGTTGAGATACTGCGCAAAGGCGCCCACTCGCTGCAAGGGGAATGCACCCATTTTAGTGATGCTTTGCAGAGTAGGAGTCACGGGAGGCTTGTCGCCATCATTGATGGAACC